GTCTGGATTATATAGGGACAGGGGGTATCCAAAATGTCTGGATTATACAGGGAAGAGTCTCTGGGGGAAGGGCAGCCTAGACCTGGGCCAGAAAGTTCAGGGTAGGGGGCAGGGTATGCCAGCCAAACCCTGTAACAGGTAGAGACTGAGTGATGCTGGGAGAACCTGGAGGCCAGGTCTGCTTTGATATGTTAAACAGACACATCAGCCATTTCCAGGTTTGAAACTTAACAAATATGATTATCATTTTGTTTGTTTGTTTCTGCCCATATACAGCTAAATAAACAAAAGGAAACAGGACAAGTGCATTACATTGCCAACGCTGCAGCTTTCCTAAGAGGCCATCTCTAATATATCAGGAGAACTGGTAGGAGCGCGAGGCCAGTACAGTGAGTTAGGCCAGCATGTCTCAAAAAAAAAAAAAAAAAGTGCCACCAACAACCAGCAGAGAAGACATTTTCCACTACACTGCCAGCTATCATTTTGGTGCTGTGCTTAGTAACGTATTGTATTCATCTCAGTAATAGCAAACATGGACATCGAAATGAGTCACATAAAAACAAAAAAAGTTAGACTAGATAACTTACAAACTCCCCTTTCTATTCTGATATTGTGGTGTTCACAGCAGTTGGAAATTCCTTAAAACTACAGACTGGGAAAAGGTATGCCTGAGACAATTTATGGGAAAGGTGACTCTCTGGATGCCACAAAATCCCCATCCAAAGATTATCCTCCTGGTCTATATTTCTGCTCAGAGAAAAAGTCCAGAACTCCAGGCTGCTCTTGCACTGCTCAGGTCTGTCCACCAGGGGCGCGCGCTGTTAGTGAGGGATCCATGGCAGTATTTCCAAAGGTGCTCCTGAAGCTCAGGTTGAGTTTAATTTTATTTTTGAGAAAGCATCTTTTGATTATGTAGCTCTGGCTGTCCTGGAACTAGTTATAAAGACCAGGATATCCTTGATCTCACAGAAACCCACCTGCTTCTGAGTGAAATACATTTATATTGTTGAATGCAAAAGCCACCAGGCAGTTAGTGCAGACAAGATGTCACAAAAATAGAGTTAGCCTATTGAGGTAGTTAGTCCACACGATAGGCAAGACAGAGCAGTGCGGGCCTGGAAGCCCAGCAGCTGGCTGGAAGGAGAATGTGTGGGTGCACGCCTCAATCCCATCATTTGGAGCTGGAGAATTAAGAGGTCAATGCTCAGCTACATAGGGAGGTGGAGGGCAGTCTGGGCTACACAAGACCCTGTTCAAAATAAAACAAGGGAAACGATTAACCAATAAACAAACAAACAATCCAAGAACAACTATTTCTTTCATGTCTATTATTGGGTTTATACTTAAATGTACATTGCCCAATGATCCAGAATATAAAAAGTCTACCTATACATTAATCCTTTATTTCTTGGCTGTCACTAAAAAAAATTCTTTTCTGAAAATGGTTTAATGAGATATAATTGATGTGGGATTTCCCTCTGTATGCTGTGAATATGTTTTACTACCATTGGTTAATATAAGAAGCTGCTTTGGCCTATAGCAGGGCAGAATACAGTCAGGCTGGAAGAGATATATAGAGAGTAGGCGGAGTCAAGGTTTATATATAT